GCCAATCACAATGCACTGGGTCAGCTGGCCAATCAGAGCAGACTGCACTTGTCTGAAGGAGGGACTTTGTAGAAAACGAAGTGTTTGAGAGAGGCGGGGCATAGAGGACCTACAATAATGTACAGTATTTGACAAATAATGTGTTTTTGAACATTAAAGCATGTCAACATTCTGTTACACCAAATACACAAAATAATGATCTTTAAAAAAGCATCATATGACCCCTTTAATAATATTTAGTATATTAAGTAATAATATTTTTTGTTGTTTAAAATGACTTAATTTCTGCAGTTAAATAGTTAAATTATATTTGAATATTTGTTTATATTTATTAATTTACGTTGTTAATCATTTAAATAGTATACAGTTATTTAATTTACTGAATTATCAATATAGTCTAGTTAAAGTCTATAGTCTAGTTGTTGTTGTTTTTTGAAAGCCGTTTTGTTATATAATTACGATTTTGCAATTAGATGGTTTGGTCATACTGCTCATCCCTAATTTTCGTATGTTTGTTGATTCTTACCAGAACAATGTACTGTTGCTTTCCAAATCCAACGGTTTTGGTTCGTTAGCATTATTTGGGTGTTTTCAATTCCGTGCTTGAACTTTGGTTTAAAAATGATTATGCTATAAAGGCATCAGCGATCCGAAAGGAAATGTGTCATTGTGAGACTTGTCCTAATTTTGCACTGGTAGCACAGCCAAGGCGCATTCTGCCTTTGTTTTGCCTTTAAGTTTGTGTTTGGTTGTGAGGGAGAATGACTGTTCTCATGCATGCATGAACATGAACAATTTAGCCATTCTCACCCTTTTTTTGGTTGTTCTGTTCCATTGTCTCTCCTCTTGTCTCTCCTCTTTCTCACTCGCTCACTTTCTTCTTCTTTCTGGATTACGTTCACTCATACTTAAATTTATATTGCTGTTTCCTTCTGCACAGCAGTCATTTCCTCTGTCTGTACATCTTTGTATTATTCTTTTGTCTTTTCTCTAGAGGGGGCATATTGGTCTATAATACATTTCTAACAATGCTCAAGCTATTGTTTTTTTTGTTTTTTTTGCTTCAAGTTTCATTTACCCTCATCACCCTTCAAGTTCACATTGCTAAACTCTATCAAATTTGGCCCTCGCTGAAAAAAAAAAGCTGTTGATTAAATGCTCCGATTTTGGCGTAATTTGACAAACAGGCTAGAACAAGCTAACAGCCGCGTCATTCCAGCACGCCTTTGCTGTGCATGAGCGTTATTTTGATAGCAGCAGAAACGGTGTTGGAACAGAGATGAGGATGGTACAGAGCTATTCTCACCTGTATGAAACATATCGGGTGTCCTGCAGTCCGGCAGGAAAGGGGACACCCAGCTATTTTCTCACGCAAACGTCCCTCCAACGCACGAATCCAGGGGTTTATGTGTTCTTTCTCAGAATAGCTTATTCTGCAAAGAAATTGAATTTAGTTGGATTGATTTACCTCATCACATCATTTCTTAATTTCTCCCATTTTGTCTTCTCAGAGGTGCTGATGACCTGTTGCCCATCTTGGCGTTCGTGGCTTTACGCAGTGAAATGCCTCAGCTGGTGTCTGAATGTGCTGCATTGGAAGAATTCATTCACGAGGGGTGCGTTTTCAATATAAAATACTGTGTAATTTTTCTATTCTCCACAGTTATTTATGAACTAAAAATGAACTGAGCATGCTGTACCACAGGAAATTCTGTAGAATGGAGAGAAGGCCCACACTCTTCAATGCACGTGCCTCCCACCAGGGCATGTCTTATGGCACTCTTTCGTAAAGTCAGTCTTGTTTTAGGTTTAGATGTTATAAAGAATGAAGTGACCAGTAAGTAACCACAGAAGGGGTAATGGGAAGATGCTTTATGCCATACACTACCGTTAAAAAGTTTGTGGTTGGTAAGATTTTTTCTAAATGCTTTTGAAAGAAGTCGCTTGTGCTCATCAAGGCTGCATTTATTTAATCAAACATACAGTTAAACAGTAATATTGTGAAATAATAATAATAATATTATAATTAAACTTTCTGTTTTAATATATTCTGAAATGTTATTTAGTGTAATTATTCCAGTCTTCAGTGTTATATGATCCTTCAGAAATCATTCTAATATGCTGATTTGGAGTTCAAAAAATATGATCAGTGTTGAAAACAGTGCTGCTTAATTTTTGTGGAAACCATGGTACTTTTGAATGTAGTTTGTGTATATACAGTTCTTGCCATGAAAATGGCTTTAGATGTAGCATGAAACTGTCAAATAAATAAGCGCAAACAAAAATTGTAAAAGATTGTCCAGTTGATACCTATATTGCTGTGAGTTAAATGTTATTGTTATAATGGGTTAAAAGTTACATTTACATCCTGATTAAATATTATGCAATAGAAAATGTCATCTCAGACAGTCTCTTAAACCGATTGACAGTCTGTCAAATTTTTGGCATCAGATGTTGATAATGGTGGGATAGATGATGCTGTTTGGAAATTTGGCTTGGCATATTCTTTTAAGTGCCAGTCTCTCTGTCATTTGGGCATGTATCAAGTTTTGACAGAGCATGATCTCACTTGCTACCAATAATCGAAAATGTCATCTATTGCACTGTCTCAGAATTTGTGCATGAATATTTCAGCTAGAAAAATACCCTCCAGTCTAAACATGTTGGAATAAACCCATAAAACAAATATTACAGTTCTTATCGGTAATATGAGTCCACCTTTGATGCCATCTTTCATGTTTATATACATTTTTGGAGCGGAGGATATCACAACAGTGAGATCTCGGTTCATTTAGGTGACCGTTTGACCTGTTTCCTGAGCGGTGTTGTGGGTATTCATGTCACCCCTCCTGTGCTGTACTCTTGCATGTCTACTCAGCCCACAGCCCTGAGCTCTGTTTATCAGTATAAAACTGGACATTTTTACAGGCTGGTTAGATTGGCAATTAACAAGGAATGTTGGGGATATTCTGGTTTGGGTTTTTTTCTTTCCCTATAAAAAATACAAATAAAATCTCTTTAGATGTTTATGCTTCTTGGTGGCTTGGAGCTAAGGGTGGAACTCTGCAGCGTGTGAGGAAGATTGTGATAGGAAGTGTATTCATTCTCAGGCACAGTTGACAGGTTTCGTTTAATTAGGACTATCTAAGACTGATTTAAAGTGATAGTTTGCCAAAAAAGAGACTATTTTTTTTATTGTGCCATTTCAAACTTGTTTGCTGTTATTTTTGACATTGAACACAAAATTAAACTTTTTTTTTTTTTTTTCTATTCATCGACTGTTGGTAGTGTCCATCAAGCTCAAAAAAGGATCTAAAAGTATGTGTAGTGTGTACATGCACTCACCCTCAGACCATCCAAGATGTAGAAGTTTGTTTCTTCATCCGAGAAACAGATTTTGCATTACATCTCTTGCTCACCAATGGATCCTCAGCAGTGAATTGGTGCCGTTAGAATGAGTCCAAACAGCTGATAAAAACATCACAATAATCCACAAGTAATCCAAATGACTCCAGTCCATCAATTAACGTCTTGTGAAATGAAAAGCTGTATGTCCATCAAGACATTTTCAAACCATTGCTTCCAGCTAAAATATGAGTTCTCTGTCCATAATATTGTTTTCTCCAGGGAAAAAGTAATCTCATCTGAATCAGGAGAGACATATGCACAGATCAAGCACACAGCAGAAGTGACATTTTAAAGTTAAAACACATTGATGTACTGTATATTTTTCTTTCAAACATGCGGCTCTTCACTTCCCAAGATGTTAACTGATGGAGTCGTGTGGGTTACTTGTGAATTATTGTGATGTTTTTATCAACTGTTTGGGTTCTCAACAAACCCAGCTACTTCTTGGATGGATGTGTGTGAGTACATTTTCAGCAAATTTTCATTTTTAGGTGAACTCATATGAGAGATTTTTGTTCATCAATACAAACTTTTATTGGTAATCTGCACCTCAAGCAGGTCTCAGATCAAATAACACTTTATGGCTCAGGTTTAAAATGACTTGAGGGTGCAAAATGATGATTTTTATATTTGAGCAAACTTCTTTTAATGAATAGAATGATCTGTCTCATACTGCCTTTCTTTTCTCCCTTACTTTCTTTTCTCTCATCACACTCCCCAACATGTTACACACTGACTCTTGGCTTCAGCTTGATCTCGTGTCTTAGTCTCGTTAGCAGATGGGTTCACTTGAAGTTGACCCTCAGTGGAAGAGATCTTGTTTTCCCTTGTGAGCAGAAGCGCTAATGAAGTGTTTGTTTATGTCTACAGGTATCTGATCGGAGAGGAAGGGTACTGCCTGACATCAATGCAGAGCGCGCTGACCTACGTTGAGTCATTGACCTTGGGTGGGGCTCCGCCCCTGACTGCCAAACCCACCTGACATAGGTAAAGCCAATCATATCATCCTCTCTGATACACACTGACTCAACCTAGTGAGCTACCTGCATGTAGGCTACATTGTTAGATTACCATCCCAATCCAAGGTCTTTCGTTCTTTCGTTCGTTCGTTGCAAAAGTAACAGATTTTTTTAACAACGTAGTGTCTTAACTATTTCAAATGCTGCTCTTTCAACTTTAAAATTAACACAAAAATATTAATCAGTGTTTATTGATGGCAAAAAAAATGTTTGAGCAGCAAATCAGTATATCGGAAAGATTTCTGAAGGATCACGTGACACTGAAGACTGGAGAATTCAGCTTTGCCTTTTAAATTGCATTTTAAAATATATTCAAATAGAAAACTAATACTTGAAATTGTAATGTTTTGCAATATTACTTTTTTTTACTGTGTTTGTGATCAAATAAATGAAGACTTGGTTAACATAAGAAACAAAAAACTTCTTTCAAAAATATTTAAAAAATCTTACCAACTCCAAACTTTTGAATGATTGTGTATATTATTATTATTATTATTGTTGTTGTTGCCTTGATGGGTTTGTGCTCTTCAAATATCATATTTCAGTTGAGTAAGGACTTAGTCATATGGTGGGTCAGGGAAAGATAAACCAAACCACTAACTCTATCTGACAACATTGTTCCGCCTCATCAGAAGTTATCCCATTTTTATCCAAACGTTTAACTTTGCAGAGCACAATGTCTGTACCGCTGTCACTTATGCTACGGCGTCCAGTGTTGAAATGCACTCCTCTTTCGTCATCCACCACTGAACAGCTTAAATGAACCGAATAGAAAAGGAGGGGCTGGGCTGTACCCCTGGATCACAGCCAGATGTGCTGCTCTTACCTCGATGGATGGATTACATCGACCTTGCTGAACTTTGAACTTCACTTCTTGAAGTGAATTGTTGCTGTTTGTTTTTGCCCACAGGGTGAAGTTTCTATTTGTTACTGAAATAATGATAGTCTACGGTGGCTTAAGTTCTAATTAGATTACCCAATGGAGACTGTTAAACATGCCAAAACATCAAACAAACTTCCAGCCTCTGCCAGAACGATGGACAACACTTTCTTTTACTTTTGCTTCTGTAACAGTCTCTGCTCTTAAAGTAGCTGGCTGGCTTGCTCACATAGTTTGTGTTCATCCAGTTTAATTAAAGCTGTTTGTGTTTTGGTTCTAGGGGCCTTAGCCTACGGAAAGATCTCATGGTGTTTTGACAGTCCTCAGGAGTTGGTGTATCTCATCTGCTTGGTCTGTTTAGTCCCAAATCAGGCCAGACATCAGTTCTGTTAAAATCTTCCCCACCTACGGCTTTGAAGGGACTGGAGAAGGTTATTCTCTGCGTTTGGGCACTACAGGGCAGGTTCATCCGAATGTGGTTTAAAAAAAAAAAGAGACTGAATGGGATGAAATTAGCAAGATGTTAGGAAAGGACTTGTGGAAAGTTTAGTTAAAAAAATCTTTATCAATGTGTGTATATTCTAATCCCATTGATTTATTTTTTTTTCTTGTCCAAATGTATTTCCCAGAGAATTTTACTATGGAAATGAAAGACTAAAGCACTACTAGCATTTGTTAACCCTATTTATTAAACAATATAAAAAGTGACACTAATTCAGAGTTTTTGTATTATTTTAGCTCAGAATTTTATCCATTTTGAGCTTAACTATATATGGAGAAAAATTGTCGAAACAAGTTCTCTTAAAGGGAACTTATATACTCTAAGCTGCGCATTTCTTTTGCAAGTAAATATACCACTAAGCAGAACAGGCATCATGGTATTAAGCAGTATGTGTTTTATCTGTCTCTTTTTAAATATCTTAACTTTATTTAAATGCTTTTCACTCTAATAGTCAAAGAAGTGAAATCAATGTGAAAAAAAAAATTTTGGATGTGCAAGAAAGATTAATGCTGCTGAACCATCTGTCTTCATTCTGACATTGCTGATGTTGAGGGGATTGAATAGAAAATAGGCATAATAAAATTGTGTGCGTGCAAATGCATATATATATATATATATATATATATGCGTTTTGTCTGAGCAGAATGTTTGTTTTCTGTTTGTTGCTAAAGATATGTAATGTGAATTGATGAATGTAGCCTGAATCTCTTTGCCTGGGAGACAGTGGCCATGTATTTTTTACAAAACCTTCCCAAGTTCTTCATACCTGATCATTAGAATTGGATAATGCACATGGGCATGGTTTGAAAGTGCGTGGCATGTGAATTTTCTAACAATAAAGACATATGTAACCCTGTTTAGTGCTCTCAGGGGTGTTTTTATTTTATTTTCCTAATTCTTCCATGCTTTTGACCACCTTTTAATCAATTAGTTAAAATTCGAAGGCCAAGGAAATCACTGGGAGAAGCGATTGCTCAGAGGGTGGCCAAGTCGCCTGATGGGCAGATGGCTGGATTATTCCGAAAGTTTCCGGGCCAAAGGAGAAAACATGCCACTCTGAATCAGGAGGCTTAACCTCTGTCCTAGAATACCCTCTGTGTGGATAATGATTACTCTAATGGCTTCACTGTGTGACTTTGTCTGGGCGGCCTTTTAAATCCCTTCCAGTCCACTTGTCTTGTCCCTCTACAAAAATGCCCCAATCCCTGTCTGTGTTTTGGAGCTGGCACCCAAAATAACCAGTGACAAGCCTTGGGGTTAAACACCAAAACACAGCAAGAGTGGTTAGGGAAAGTTTGCAAACCTTGATCTTTCTGTTTAATTTGATATATAGAAATGGATGATATGACTAGATGGATGCTTCCAGTCATTCACCAAAGATGGCGAGAGATGTGATAACATTTTGTAAAATTGCATATAAAAGCCATTAGGTTGCTCATCATAACTTACTGAGACTCACTTTTTGTGTTTTCTGATTGTGCCCGTATTGGTCTGAGATTTTGCATCCCTGATAGTTCCTATTTTTAACTCTTTTCATATCATTTAAATTAACAATTTGCCCAAAAATGAAAATTGTTAAATACTTACCCTCCTGTCATTCAAAATATCAGTTTTTGTTTCATTGAAGAAAAAAATAATAATACCCATTTGGAACAACATGAGGGTGAATAAATAATGACAAGAGTTTTCATTTTGTGGTGAGCTATCCCTTCAAGTATGAGTTTTGAGTTTGAAAATATTGATGTCTTTTTGGCATTCGAAGTGTACCGTCTCACGAAAAGGGATTTCATTGGTTGCCAAAGTGGATACTTTGTTTTCCGTTGTTTTCAATTTATCAATTCTGAAACTATTTTTGAAATAAGAACTCTAAGCCAGATTTTAATGAAATCCAGGCAACTAAAGTCATATCACACCCTCAGCATTGTGGCTCATGTCATGTTGGTTACTACTTCAAAGAAATTAGGAGTCTGGGAGATTTTCTCTTTTTTTATTATTTTAATTTCCTCAGACACACAATATAAATGCCCCATGAATGGTTTTCACTCAGACAAGTACTAAACCGAGTAACAGAAACTATGTTTTGGTTGTATGAACAGAATGGCACACTTTTTGGTCTGTACTTAAGATATAAACGGATAGTTCACCCAAAACATTTAAATTCTCAACATCTATTCAATCTAATATCTAATTTCAAACCTATATGGTTTTCTTTCTTCAAGAATATTAAAAAAAATGTTTTCTTTTTTTGTTCCACAGAAGAAAGAGTGTCATACAGGTTTGGAACTGACATGAGGATGAAAAGTTTTAAGTTTTGAGCGAACTATCGCTTTAATAAGCTGATGCAATGCAAAACTACAGTTGACAAACTGACAAAGCCTGTTCACCTCCTTCCCCCTTTAATTAGACACTTCACTAAATCCAGTGGCAAATTTAAATCCCTGTCACTAAAGCGTTAATGCAAATGTCATGATTACAGCAAACACAGACAACAATGTCCTCCACTTTAAAGGCCGGCCATTTCTGAACCCCTTGCCCCCTACACGCTTATTATGGGCCACACGGTTGGGAATATTTGGAGCCGTGGAAGCAACAGCCAGATAAGTTTTGAGTGAACGAGGGAAGGTAGTCACGCTACGGGGACACAAGTGTGCCAACAATGTGCCATGTTTTTTCTCTTACTCTAACCATGGAAAAGACCGAGTTTGTTTTCACATCCGTCCTCTCACGTGTCTCTCTTCTTCAATGTCAAACTTACAAGTCTGGGGCTGCGTTTACGCTCAGCTGCACTCCAAAGCATCTGTACTATTCCATTGGTTATGATATTGATTTGTTTTGAGCACAATGAGTATTTCAAGGCTATGACAAAGCTGGGGATTGTCAGTACAGAAATGTTTTGTTGACATGCAATAAAACAATACACGCATACTAACAGGATAAAGTGAATACAGAGGAAAATCCGATGGGCCTTGCTTACAGATTGCCCTCCAAGATAACAGTTTTTAGATCGGCAGGACAGCTCACGGGGAAGACTGTGTGGGACGTGTTGCGGCGCTCCACCAGCGTAGCCACGGCCTCCCCTAAATCCAAGTGGTTCAGGTACCCGGGGGCCATTCGGTCTGGGGCCGCAACACCTGTATTGATTTTCACCTGTTGGAAGATTATTAAGACAGGCATCATAGAGGAACAAATATGAGGAAATACTTTCATGACATTTAATTAAGCACATCTTCAGTGAGTCTACATGTCATGGCCGGAATATAACCCTATGAGCTTGTCGTTGTGTTTAGGAGAGTTTGATGAGACACCTGGTTGACTTTGCATGGCACCTCTGGGTACTCCTCACGCAGAACCTGACAGAACGCCAGAGCACTGGCTGCCCCTACAGTCAGGAACCCTGTGCCCGGCATGAGAACTTTCTCTCCAGCACCTCCTGTATAACGCAGAACGCATCTGGATAAGCAGGGGGAATAATTTACTTTTTGTTGCCACATCTGCCTGATAATGGTTAGTGGATTGAGAAAATTTACTGGCCATGAAATTATATTTCAATTAAATGCTTTTGCCTTCTACATCTGGTTCCTACAGGAATCTGTCTCTCTCTATATGTGTGTGTGTGTGTGTGTGTGTGTGTTTTCTTCCATTTATTTCCACCGTTCTTAAAAGAACCATTTTTTTAAGCACATTTAAAAAAAATTGTGTCCATTGTAAAGGTTCCATCATGGATCGTAACGGTTCCAAAATGCTCATAAAGAAAAAAATTTTTTAAGAGTATATACGTTGTTGTCGGCTATCTGACCAAGTTTTATTGATTTGTGTTTTGAATTTGCTAAATGATAAATTTGGATTTAGATTTTTTAAATATGTATATATTATACACACACATATACACACACACAAAGAAAAACAAGTAGATAGAATAGAAAAAATAGAAAGCTAGTGTGTTTTTTTAAATAAAAAAGAAGATAAAGTAGAATTAAAATAGAATAGAAAGTGCTAGAGTTAGAGGGTCAAATAAAGGTGGAACGGATGTGTTTTTAGTCGTTTCTTGAAGATGGCTAAGGACTCAGTTGCTCAGATTGAGTTGGGCAGGTCATTCCACCAGGAGGGAACAGTTAATGAAAAAGTCCGTGACAGTGATTTTGTGCCTCTTTGAGATAATCATAATCTAATCATCAACATTCACAACAGAAAAGCAAGCATGGGCTGCTGCGTGCATGGGTTGGCATGGCAGAGTGCGAGCAGCGCTTCCTTTATTATCACTAAAAGCTGACATCTCAGTTAATCGCAATCTCATAAAGCTTTGTTATAACACAATAAATATATGCACAATGAATCTTTCACAATGTCTACACTTCGTGTGTTAAAATGAGAGGATTTTGTGAGCACGCAATTTCAGCACTGCAGTGAGTAGATTCTAACTTAATCACCTCTGATTGGCCATTGCGTTCCAGAAATCAACAGCTGAGTCTGTGATTGGCTACATTGCGCAACCCTTTAAACACGTGTTATAAATAGAAACTATGCCTAGCTTGCGCATGTCAATCATTTTAATGTTAATTTTAGTTGTTCTTTTTGCTTTTGTGCAACAGATAAATAACAATTTGTATGTTTTAGACACTTTATGTTTAGATAATTTATATTTTGCGGGAGTCCCGCGAGTCATTTCATTCTCCCGCATCCCGCACACACAGGAGTCTCTTGCCGCCCGCACTCGCCCATCAAGAGTTGTCTCGCGCCGCACCCTGTTGAGTTGGGTCCCGCGGTAGTGCAAGTCTCTACTCTGCATTTAACCCATCCAAGTGCGCACACACCGAGCAGTAAGTAGTGAACACACACCCAGAGCACAGCAGTGGCCAGACATTTTTGCTGCAGCACCCGGGGAGCAGTTGGGGGTTTTGGTGACTTGCTCAAGGGTCTCACCTCAGTCGCGGTATTAAAGGTGGAAGAGAGTGCTTCACTCTCCCCACAACCCCTGCCGGTACCGAGACTCGAACCCGCAACCTTTGGTCCAACAAGTCCGACTCTATAACCATTAGACCATGACTGCCCGCAGGAAAAGACATTTGTGTCTTTTAAAATAGATTTACTAGTAAACTCACAATTATTTTTCACATATGACTAAATAATCTTAAATAAATATGTTTTGGAAGACAAATAATGACGTACCCGTGATAAACGTGTAGGTACAGTTAGGATCATCTTTCACCAGGGTAAAGAACGCTTTCCAAGACACAAAGGTGCTGAAAAGCAGAGTCTCAATAACCTGTTGACCAGAGAGGAAAGAGTTTTGAGCAATCAAATGATGGTGGAGATGCAGACCTAAGGATGAAAGTTTGGTTAGAATGCAAAACGTGGATGGTGAAATGTTGTGCGTCATATAAGCAAGTATAAACAATCACAGAAAGGATCGTGTTTAATATGTATTAATTAATATTTCATATAGAGGGCTTGCAAGGATAAATGCTCTTCTCTTACCCAGTGCAGTTCTTTGAGGGGTTGGGTGTGTGGTGGACCTCCCTGCCACCAGCTGAAGCCCAGAGAGGACACCACATCTGTGATCTTTCCCACAGACTTAAGCAAGGCCTGTTTCACCTCCTCCGCTCCTTCTTCTGAGCCTGATAGATTAGGAGAGTATTTCATTAGTCACAAACAATCCAAAATCAATGAGACCTTAAAATGTCTAGAATTGCAAAGATAACACATACCAAAAAAATTATAATAATAATTGCAAAAGGAGAAGATACATACCAACATTCCCCACTAAAGTGGTCAGGTTACTTTTTGTGCTAGGTGAAACAAACCCTTTGAGTTTCTCCAACTTGCTGCTGTCTCTGGAGATCACAGCAACCTTGAAACCTAAATATGTGTTTGCATAGTTACCACACATGCTAATGCTTAAAAAAAAAATCATTTATGCAAAGAAATTTATTTTTATCATTTAAAGTAAAAGAAAGGAAAATGTTTAATCAATTTAGAATTAAATTACGGAATCAGAATTGAGATCTGAATTTAACCTAAAAACATCTAATAGGGGTGGATATATAATTGTTTTCCTATTCATAAATGCACTGTAAAACCACCCTGTCCCCGTTTGACATCGCGAACACAACCGCTGCAGCAGTGCAGACGCCCGAGATTGATTATGCTTTAGTTTATGGGTTTCATGTCTCCTGCTGCTCAAGATCTTTAAATGGAACCGCAGCAAGATACCACGCCCCTTTCAGAATGACACGCCCACCTAATTATGCATTATTTTATCCTTTATCACAATTAAATTACAGTTTCAAAGAAACTATTTTTCAGGAAAATTATAAATGTTGCGGCTGAAAAACAAATCTTATATTGTAGTGAATAACCGTAATATCATCATGTCAGTAGGAAAGGTTGTAATAATTAAGTTTGATACCAAGGTCAGGTCTGATATTACCAACCGTTTCTATCATATATTATAGCGCCCTCTTGTGAACTAGCACTGGTAGATACACTAAATTGAATAATCATAGCAAACTGCACATTTAGAGTTGTATAAACTGCGAATAAATTTGTATAAATTATTTTAGCTATTTTATTCACAAAATGAGAGATGCCTCTGTGTTTTAGACTTGAAATAAGGAACAGGGATCTCAAGATTGATATGGAATACTTTTCATATATGACAAATGCAAATTGCCACCGTTTTTTTTATTACTTTTTATTCTATTTATTTGTATACAATTATATTTACTCATTTAATTTTATTTACTTATTTAGTTTATACGGTTTGACGACACTGCAACCCTAAAAATCTTCACGTGAGCCGAATACGGAAGTGATGTCAAAAAAGTTTCTCCACTGGGAAACAGCGACGCTCTTCAAAGCAGTTTTTTGTTGGACGTCGAACGTCGATCAAGTAATGAATTTAGTTTAGTTGATTCGTTACAGTCTAATGTGAACGGCGTTAGTCTTGTGTCAAGAGCTTTGTTGATTTGAATTTAATGAGTCAGTTGAAAAAAATTATACCAGTGGATTTGGTTTGGAAAGGCAAGATGCATAATCTTTAAGCATTTAGCGTAGTTTATGTTATTTATTGTTCAACAATGAAATGTTTAATGTATATTAAACATTTAATATACTTTTAAAAATCTGAATTTAATTGTGTAAGACGGTGGTTTCAGATAATCTGATGGAACTGTGTTTTCGATCTTCACTTTCACTTTAGTCTGTTGATGATCTAGAAGTAGTATTATAGATGGTTTTTAATAGTTTAAATTTCCACATATATTCAATCACTGTTCAGATTGAATTGAACTGAAATGTCATCTTTAAATGGCATTTTGTATAGTTTGTAGTTGTCTTCACCCGACTATCCATGGTGTTAATGACGTCATGCAAAATATAAACTTGCTATGTTGTTTCTGTATATCTGTTGTGATTATTGACATGTTTAATGATTATAATTTGGTTGACATTAAATAAACTTCCAATATTCTTTCTTCTAGGATGAATTCTGCTTATAAAAAGACAGAAGATGGCCACATTAATAGGTACCAGACTAACTTGGAGAGACAAATTGAAAAGGGGGATCGAAGTTTGGTGTGCAGGAATGAGGAACTTTGTAAGGAAGTCAAGATGCTCCTTCACAATGGCAATGCCCAGAAGATACATCATCTACATGGATTAGATTCACTGGCAGTGATGGAAAAATCTCTCTATGCATTTCCCTCAAAAACTGGCCAAATGGGGCTTGAAAAACTTTCCAAGGCCTTTGAAGTGTTGGAGCTCGCTGCTTTAAACCTCTACGTCTACCCCTGGAGAAGAGAGTACAGACTGGTGAAGGTATGTGGAAATACTGGTGCTCCACCTATAGAGCTAGATTTTTAACAGTCTCTTTGACGTTTGTTTGTTTTCACCACCTTTAAATAGTCTCTTCCTTCTCACCAGATGTTTTCAGGTATGTTCACCCATTCGATCAAACCTGCACTAACACTTCAGCAGGCTAAAGAGCTGTTTGGCTTGCTTGGATACCAGGCCTCAAGTCCTAATGAAGAAGAGGAGTTGGCGCTGAACTCCAAACTAGTTCCTACTGATTTCTTACTCAGCCTTGCATGTGGCTTCTTCACTGCCCGGATGGAGTGCCAGCTGCTACTTTCGGCCTTGGGCTCGGTGGACAGAGGTGTGGAGTGGGTTCTACAGCTAGTTAAGGAGAGGCAGGCGGGCCACAGTCTTCAGGTAGCACTAGAGAACACCAAGAGAAAGGCATATGCTGCTAGTGTTTCAGATGCCATCCTGACAGGTGGCATGGACACTGAGCTGGATCTGTACACGGAGCAGACAGATGCTTCTCGCGTGACATCCATGTCTTGTTCACCACCTCACTCTTCTTATATGCAACCAAAAGAGACTGATCTAAGCAAGCCTTTACAGAAAGAGGCATCACGGTCAAACATGGGGAATAATGAGGATGCAAGGCAGGGAGGACCACTCAAAAGTCCAGGTCCGATGGAAAGCTTTGCTGAAGATCAAACTGAAGGTGATGCCCAGAGCCAAGCAGCAGCAAAAGTGATATGCAGCTGTATAAAGCAAGGTTCGTTATATGTATACCAATGTGAGAAGTGCAAAAGTGTGCACAGTCCATTTTGTGACTATTATAAGGAGTGCAAAAATAAAGGACATAAATTAGCTCTGTGCCATTTTAAGACTGAAGACCTTTATTCAGCACAAAACCAGCTCAGAATGACCAAGGAAAAATCAAAAGATTCACTCAAGACACATTTTTGTATGATGAATTCTTCTTCTGATTCATCTTTGGTGTGCTATGACTGTCAGTTGATCCATGAACACAACTGTGATTTTATTAAAGCATGCCGATTTAATCACTGTATTCAGTATATGGGGACAGTGCAGCCCCCTCAAGGAGAAAGAGTGAATGTTCAAAAGAGAAACACATGTCTTTCTTCTGCACATCATATGCAGTACCCCCAGGAGACGGTTGGATCCGAAACACCTAATGCACCAATACCATATCACCGTGATTGCTTGAAAGCTAACCAAACTTTTCCTGACACTGTATGCCTCACTTGTGAAGTCTTTCATTTCACTGGGTGTCCTGATCTACGACATTGCTCTCAAAAACACAAAATACATAATGTCAGAACATATTGCATCACTTGCCACAGTTCTGAACTTAGCACCTTATGCAGGTACTGTGCAGCTGTGTATTGCCATCTGTGTTGCTATAAAAATACCTTGTTATGCAGGTGTGGAAAGCCTATCCTCAGCTCTTCCTCTGTTTGAAAACAACTGTGTGTCAGTGTTGACCATGTCTGGTTGAAGACACAGTTTTTAATCTGCAAATTAAGCCTGTTATTATGTTGGTAATTGCACAAGGAGTCTGAAATTCTGGGGAATAGAAACATGCAATCTGTTACGCTTTTAATTTTTGATATCAGTGGTGTCTTTATGTGATGATAAGAGCCATATATAACAGGAAAATTATTAAGTTCACTGTAGAGTTAACTATCTCTTACTAATGTCACTCAGTAACAGGGCTTGTAACTGTCTAATGGTGAGAGTATGTGATGGCCAGCCCAATATTTGATAATTGTAATGTATTCAGTAACTGGTTCAACACGTTTTGATGGTTGAAAATGATGGTTTGGGATCTTAGCAACTAACCAATGATCTCTAACCAATCACCATGTTGCTTAGAGAGATATACTGCCATATAATTATTAAATATAACGCACATGTCAGTTACTGTGATGGTTTATTGGAATTAATATAAAAATAAAGGGACTGAAAGTGAATTCTGCTTTTGCTTTTATTTAAAAATCAAAAAATCCCAAATAATATTGTTACAAAAAAAGGGGTCTTACTTTTGGAGATGAAGGTGTTGTAATCTCCATTTAGTTGTATACTATCTGCATAGCCAAAGTGAAAACTAGCTTGATTGTAAATGTTCAATGTGAAATGTGATAAAATGCTTGTTTCAGATAACACAGGATTGATAGGAATATCCATTTTCTCTGAAATACAAAGGTAAGGTTGCAATGACGTTCCCAAAGCTTCATTCATTATACTCTTCCCATTTTACATTAAAGAAGGTTTTACTATCCATGCGATCAATATATAACACTCCATTAAGATGATCTATTTCATGCTGCAGTATTCTGGCCGGCCATCCACTTGCTTGCCAGCTGACAGGCTCCGCTTTCTCATTAAGACCTTGTAGAAAAAAAACAAACAGTTCTGATTTGATACTATCAAGAATATCAGAATAAATATTTAGGTTGCAAAAAATAAGAGTCTTATTTATTCATTCATTGTTTTTGATATTTTATAGCATGATGCTTTTACCTGAGACTTCTACAGACACATAGCATGGAACAGATGCTGAATAGCCACAGATGCTCTCACAAGCTTCTTGGAAGATGACGTCCATCTAGTACACGTAACTGTGGGTTTACAAAAATCATAAGGGGCACTGCCACCAGACCCCGAGCTTCAAAAGAAGCGATTGAGTTGTCCTCCAGCATTTTCTTTGGATACTCTAAGGCTAATATTTGTAGAGGAACACTAATCTGGGGTGCGCTCAGGCCGACACACTCAAGCTTCCTCATCACCTTGACCAGGGTCTTTATGACCTTCTGCACTTCTGGTCCCTGAATGGCTCCAGGTTCCACTGCCACAGCCCGTGAACGTAACACAGGATCTCCAACCTGACACACATGGTTGTATGGAGGAGCTGGTGAACCTTTGACTTTCCTTTTCATGTACTGTAAGTAGGAGCGCATCTTGATGTTGGTAGAATGAGTACGTGGGGATGCGGTACAAGTGAATGGAGACCAGGGCAAAAGAATCCTAACTGCTTTTGAAAGTACATCATTTGTCTTTGCCTTTTTAAGACATAATGTGAAAATGTCCTGCAGTGCCTGGACATGACTGACTCAAAAGCTTCTTGTCACCTGGACAAAAAAAAAAAAATCGTCACGTCAACAAATACAAAATAATTATTAATGCAATAAACATGCATGCCAACTAGTGAATAAGTCATGTTTTATTTTGTCTTATTAAGCTGAATGCACATTTAAATTTACATTTACATAAATAAGCACGAATAAATTAAAAAGTAGCTATATTAAATTAAAGGAGTGAAAAAAATGTGAACTCTATATATTTATTTGATATGAACAATTTTCCAATGACATGGCAAAACTATGATTTTTAAAAAGCAAAGGATTCAGTCACTTTTATGAGTAAGTGTCAGTACTCACCAGCACTCTAATAATTCCTCATGTTAATAAATAATTAGAATTTCAGGTGCAAATTTCTTTAAGCAGTTAGAAGCATTTCAATGTGAGGAGAGACCATTCCGGAAAACGTTACTGACACCGACGACACTGTCTTTTCTTCAAAATAAAGGTATCTGTGGAATTATTTAATTATAATGTGATTTGCTATAAAGCAGCTCGGATGAGACACCTACATCAGTCATATCTTAAAACGGTTCAAACTGAAACAACACTGGCAAAAAATTGAAAGGAAGTCTTTTATTTTAGTAAAATGTCACGTGATATAGTCAGCGTGAGGATTGTTTACACGTACGTTAAAAGGACACTCCTCTGGTCAACGATCCACATTTTCGATCAAACAAATCTTGCCATTAACAGAACCTTTTATGAATAATTTATGAATGAAATATATATACTTTTTTCCCTCATAAGTAATTACTCATGTTGCATTATGGACATTTTATAGTCAGGACGTTGTCTTATTTATGCAATTCCATGCTGATAATTGTTTTTAGTCTATGTATAGTTTAAGAAATGTATTTAATCCTTAACATTTGTATTTGTTATTCATAACTGAAAGTGAAATTAAATAGGCGAAGTAAGCGATCACGTGTTTGCGTCGTTGTAGGAAGAGCGATATCCAGAGTACGTGCTACATCCGTGATTAGCTGAACATGGCGCAGGGGAAACAGGCCATCGGTGGACTGTAAACAAGAGGACATTTTGGGATAAGATTGACATCGTACCATGCACGTGTGAAATGGTCTCAAACTCGATATACTGGACCACTTGTTCTGCTTCATTGATGACTACGAGGCGACAGATTGAGTGCAACACATCCAATTGCATTCATAAACATTTTTATAGGACTTCAAACCCCTGAGCATTGTGTTTTGGATATTTAAACAACAAATCCTTGTTTTATTGTGGATGACATACTTGCATGACCAAATGGCTTCAACTGGAAAAGTCAAACGGAGTAAAGATCTGCCTCAAGGCGCTGAGAGGTTGAAAGAGGAGCACAGAAAGGTCAGGAGTAATGTTTCCTTCATATACCACCAATGCATTCCTGCAGATATAAAGCTTGATGTCCGTGCACGTGATTTATCATCAGCATCGATTCGTTTGTCTTTTTTGTTTTGTTTTTTGTAGTATAGTCGCAGTATTAACGCGTTTCGTTCTCTGGAAATTTATTTGTGTATCACGTGTTGCTGTTGGCTAGCTGATTGCATACATGCATGTTTCTGATACATTGCAATAAAAAGCATGTACATATTTATATGCAATGTATCTCAGTAATGTTAACAGTAAATTATTTATGTATAGCTAGCAAATGATCTTTATTCTAACACGTGTTGTCCACGTTGCCAAAATGCATGCAGCAAGCAAAAGCTTACTGTACTGTTACAGTAAGAAGTTTACATGCTGTGAAATGACTCTATGTGAAGGTAAGGGTTAACTGACCTATTTATATTTGCATGGTATTTTGAGTGATGTGAGTAGGTGAAAGGCAAAGAAACTGTCTTTTACCTATGTGTTGACACTGGAGGATAAACCTTAGCTGGCCAGATATGAAAGCTACATTTGTACTGCTTTCTTTACAGTCGCCAAAACTGGTGGATTTTTCTTTAGAAGATCTGGAAACTTCTGTGTTGCACTACTTTAAGCGACATGTCTTTTAAAAGAGAAAATAAGAAAAACAAAACACATCATGCATGTCTGTGCATGCTGTTAGACATGCTTTATATTGTTTTATTGGTGGGTGAATCTCTTAAAAGACAAACCTCTGTCATATTGCATGCCAATATGAAAACAACAATTGAAAAGTAGAAAAAAAATCTAACTTTTAAATTATATTTTGCAAAAATAAAATTAAGCCTACTTTTAGTAGCATTAAGATGATTTGAACTGTGACATTATTTTCATGACATTCAAGCACAATTAACCTTGGAATGTTAATTGTCGTAATGCCAAAACAATCTCATTATTATTACTGTAATAGGAAACATTGTATGTTTTTGTAGTCTACAGACTATTTTTTACATTGCCATAAATACACCGGTTTGCACTTGCTCTCTCTCCATAAATATGTGTTACAGGATACCTTCTCTCTACATCTCATTAGAAACTTTCAGGACTGTCATTTACTCTCTCTCTATAATGGCCAATTCACATTACCAGAATAATACAGATCGTTTAGCAGTGATTGTCACTGGCTGTCTGTGGCATTTTGGGAATCTCAGCGGTAATGAAATGACAAATTGTCTCTGTTTCCACAACAGGTGGTGAAAGATTGCAGAAGTCAAATTGAGCACTGGTGAGTGTCTTTGTGCAATTTAACAGCTCTCTGACATGCATAACATTATTATCATTCATTGTTGCATGTTAGTTTGTCATTGGTTGGTTATTGGTTGTTGAATGTTTAAATTTGGAATGGAAATGCTATTTATACTGTGAATCGCTAGATAGATGTTGATGGTTATGACAAGATTTGACAGACTTTTGTTATGTCCTTTTCAGTATTTTAAAAAGATTTTCAGTAGGTAGGACGAAAATAGAGCTTGTGTGTCAACAAACTAACAATTTCCTTTTAGAAGATTCATTTTTCTCTATGACTGACAGGAATAAAGTGGAAAAAGACTATGAATCTCTTCAAGACCGCCTCAGGACTTTGCCTGACAAGTTGTCTTATGATATTATGGTATGGTGTCACTTTTCAATTACTGATGCACCCAAATTAATCTTCACATCTAGATACACAAACATTTTCTCTGCCTGAGCAACAAAATATTAAGTTATCAACAGAGTATTATTCACACAGTTTTAGCCTGTTTTAAAGGGGTTATCCGATGCTACATGCACTTTTACAAGTTGTTTGAACTGAAATGCAACCACCCTATAATGATAAAAATCCATCCAGTGGTTTTCTTTAATCTACTAAAATCTTTACCCCTTTCTCAAATCGGCCGATCTCAGATGCCTGTCTGTGTGACGTCACACAGACAGGCCCCTCCCACGATAGTTTGATTGACAGTAGCGTTTCAGCACATACTGGACTGGCGTCTTACCTTAGACCCGCCCTGAGTGAGCTGTCATCAGTCC